GAGGAGTTGAGGAGGGAGATGCTGAGGCAGGAGGAGGCTGCGTGGAATGGAGGGCTAGAGAATGTGAGGGCCTGTTGTGATGGTAAGTTACTACTCTCTCGCGTGTCACTTTTCCGACTCAATTGCTGACATGTGCTTTGCAGGCAAACACGACGTGTCAACCCTGAGTCACAGTCACCGCCACGCTTCGTCATTAAGTCACGGGCACAGGAATCTCGGCTTAAGTATGAGCCTTCGAGGCTCGGTTCGGAGACGAGACCAGTCCAATACTCCAGGTCCCCCTACCCCTGCGGCGGCATCAGCAGTGACCGCAACGACCCCGACGAGACAAGCTGCGGCAGCCACGGCGTCATAGAGGGCGTTGAGGGTCTGCGTGAGCGACGGGGACCGGGCGTAGTTCAACGGCATCAGGCAACAGCAACGGCGTACCGGCAATAGCTTTGGGGCATCCTCGCTTGAACCTTTCCTCCAATAACCGAAAAAAAAAGTCAAAAGGTCCTTGTTATCTGGAAGTATCAGGCGTTTCTGTCCGTCACTTTTTTTTCTTTCCTATGTCTGCAAATCTCTTGTCGGGGCGAATGGCATAGCAATGCACGGTGACGACTTTGATGTGGCGGAGAGCACAAGTACTGAGTCTGAGTCTGAATCTGAGTTTGAATTGGGGAGGATCTCCTGGTTCAAGGCCTGGCCAGCTCGGCGTGGGCATGGGTGTGGGCTTCGGGGGCACAAAGGCACGCGATCTTGTCGATAATCTTTGCTTGTTTCTTCGGGGAGGGCTTTTTTTCCCTTGTTGCGCCTGTTTCCTCAGTGCTGGTAGATGGTGGTGGCGACGGTGGTAGTAGTAGTGACGGTGATGCTAACGGTGACGGCCGATGCGTGGTAGAGGCATGGCAGGTCCTGGTCCTTGGTCCTTGTCCCTGGTCTTGTCGAGCGAGAATAATGAATTGCCATGTGAAAATGAGTCCAATATCCCGAATAATTCCTGTGCTCCACGACTAAGTCCCCAGGGGATGCGTCAAGCTTAGGACGAACTAGCCCGAGTCGAGGAGTCGAAGAGTACCTGTAGAGGATCAGCTTGAGGGGTCTGATATGGAAGAAGGAGAGTTCTATAGAGGAGAGAAGATGTGAGGAGAAGAGGCAAGGAGGACAGAGGAGAGACTATAGAGCAGACGGACTATATACCTAGTATGCACTTAGTATGCACTACAATGCAACACACTGTACCGAGTACCGTATTGCATTACATGACATTTAATGGCGGTTGCTTTTCGTTTCCGTTTCAAATTGATCAGTCGTTCGTTGTCATTCCTTGATCGTTGTCATCATCATCATCATTCATCTCATCAATCTCATCATCATATCTGAATCCCCATGTGTCTGAGAGCTGCATCGTCTCTGGGCCACGGGCCATAAGAACAAGGGTCCCCATTCAGTAGGCTTCAATCAAGAGACGAGTGAGCAACTGTAACTCGTATATTGTATTACATTTGTAGTTCCCCTCCTCTCGTCCTCCTCTCGTCCTCCTCTCGTCCTCCTCTCGTCCTCCCCTCGCCTTGATCTCTGTCTCCTCCCCAACTCTTTCTCTGTGGTGTCACTTGGAAGCTGCCTGGCTCTCCCTTGTCATGACATCCGAGAGCCTGGGGTGGAGTCTGGCAGATGCCATTCTCGAGCCATCTCTTTGCGGCCTTGAGCGTGGGATAGCAAGCCTGACCCCAATAAAGTGGTTGCACGGGTCGAGGTCTTTGGCATCTATCGAAGCATTGTGTCGAGCTGAAGGAGCCACGCACGACCAATTTCTCCTGACCTCCTGTACCATCACATAATATAAACCTTCTTGACCTGGTCCCAAGTAAAACTTTGGCCAGTCGTGGGGTCTCTCACTTCCCCTTCCTTGCCAATTTGTACCTCGTGTGTGCCGCTTTGACCTCCTGATCCGCCACCGCCAGCCATGACCAGTTTCCGCTGCAACTCCTCTAATCGCGCACGGCCGTAGATACGCCCATTCGGTAGGACGACTGGGTCGGGTTCCACAGAACTGACAGTGTGATGTGCATAGGGGACATTGCGTGCCAGCTCGTTCAACTCCATGCTGCAGATTGGACACAAAGAGGAATTCGTCGCGATACGAGCGTGACCGGGTGTTGAAGAACTCGCGGGGTTGTAGGCACTGTGGCACGCGGGAGTCTTCAATGCTGAGAGACCCGCCGACAGCGCGACGTGGAGGAGGGGTTGAATTGGCAGAGACAGCAAGGTATGGTGGGTCTCGACGAATAGGTTGGATAAGTGGTGCCATCGCGACGGAGCAAATAGAGTACGATACGGTTCGACTCTTGTGTCGGGTGAATTCACCAATAGACCAGCTGCTTGCATGATTGACTCTGCTCGGGATGCCATGTGTGGCGTCAGGTGTTGTTGGGCATGGGCTCTTGCTTCTAGTCTCTTCGCAGTTGTCCCTGCACGGACCAATTCGATATATTGTTGGAAACGTAGCTCAAACTCGAGATCGGTGGTTTTGTGAGGCGCCGTAATGAGTTTCTTGAGCGAGTTTTTGTTCTCGTTGATCCAAGCAAGGGCCTCCCTAGTTTCGCCACGGGTGAGTGACGAGGCGATCTTATGGCAGGTAACAAAAGTATCGAGGTCAATCAGGTGAGAGATCTGTTTGGTTTCGGCAAGCGACTTGGCTGTCTTGGAGTAGCCGGAGCGCAGGAGGTAGTCGACAATCAAACGGTCGAGACGAGTTCGAGACCACTCGTCGTACTTGACGTCCACCAAAGAGGGAATGTCATAGAGGTCAAGTAGATGCTTGATCCGCTTGGCCGAGTGGTCATGAAGAGCCTCTTCCTCAATATGCAATTTTTCCAGCTTGCGTTTGAAGTTCTGCATTCTCTGTATCATGGCATCAAGTGAAGCGAGTGTGTCCTCTGTGGTCTGTGACGAGCTGAGAGCAGCATTTGCGGTGTCCTTGAGAGCGGGAAGGATGTAGTCTCTCTCTCGCTCTACATAACGCTGGGTGTTTCTGAAATTGCGTTTGACGAGTTCATGTGGGAGGCGGAGGAGAGGTTGGTCCTGCGCACAGACTGTCAGTTGCACTGCACTTTGTACGTCCGGGAGATGCCTGGATAGCGGGGTGCAGTACCAGCAAGATATGGCTCTCTGGGTTGAGTTTGGTTGCAGACAAGTCCGCAGCCATTTTGAGGACACTGGAGGCGATTGCAGTGCCCTAAGTTTGTGGTAAGGACAGTTTGTATCGAGGTCCGTTTGTTTATAGCTGGGCGTAGGTCTATCGTCCATTCATGTGGTAGTAGCTGTGGGAGTGATGGCGCACCTGTGCGTCAAGTTGTCGGGAGTCGTGTGATGGCGGATAAGGGCCACAGTGCTCCACCGTAGTTGGTACGGACGACCACATCGCCTGCAAATGCAAACTCATCTCTGTGATCCAAATGTTCCCATTACTTGCTTGTACACGATTTGTGCAACAGCACTATGGTATCATATTACAACTCTCTCGAATCTGCCTCGGACGTTCTCCACTCGACTGCGTCCCAGAGAAAATTCCGACACTGGCACACACACTACGCTCTCGAAGATCGATCTCAAGCTAGGGAGCTAATAGCCGCCACCACCGCTTGATCCTGGCATAAACGCAGACTCTACTTGAAGGCCTCAGGCTCAGCTGTTCCTAAGCTACCACTCAAAATGAGGGACAAGTACTTCTGTCAGATTCATCGACAAGGGCCAGCAATGGATCATTCAAGGCTCGTGGTTGGTGGGTGCGTCAACACCTCCAAACCCAACCCACATCAACCGACATAGCGCCGGAAGACGCGGGAATGCACAATATTGAAGACATCAGGCCATTTCTGCCGTCCTGATGCTCGGGGTATAGCTCCTCGTCGGGTTAGCAAACCCTGTGAGGCCGGGTCTCCTGGCGTTATCCACCCGAATACGCCAACACGTTTTGCACAGCCTCGAGTTCCGAAGGCTTCCATTCAAAAAGTCTCGGATGATTTTCCTCCGCCAATGTCCATACCATGACGACAGGCTGATGCGGCCACACTCCACCCATCCTCAGCGTCGGCATTGTTGTGCAAAGCTTTAAAGGGCCAGAGAAATATCATGTTGGCGGGCCTCAAGTCTTTCTGCCACTTTTATCGTGCAAACCGTCTTTTCTCGATATGGCAGTTCCGGCATCTTCCGGTGCCCTGACAGCGTTCGCGATACTCCAGCTGGTCCTAGGCTTCATTGCTCTGATACTTGCAACCTTTGCCGCCGTCTGTTTCGGCGTCGAATTCGCGTATGGCGTCGTTTGGTGGTCGGTCAGTGCAAATCCCAGCTCAGATGAGGGTTTTCTATACAAAGGCCATACTAATACAGATCACTTTTTAGTTTGGCTGGACACTGGTCACCGCTTGCCTTCACTGGTGGACTGATGACCTTCGACGCTCGACCATAGAACAAGCGATCCATCTTGCCTTTGCAGCTTTCACTCTGATCAGCTGGGTGGTGGCCACTGGCGTGCTTGTTTCTTTGAACATACATTTGCACCACCTCTCCGAGATCTACGCAGATGATATCAGGAATGATGTCCCACTGACTGGCGAGTTGTTGACCCATCAATTCAACAGCCTGGGTTTGGGCGGGCTTTATTGCAGCTACGCGGCCAACGCAGTGACGGGTGTCATCTTGTGAGTTGTGTCCCGTTGAATAAGGGTCTTCCTGCTGACGTTTGTGGAAGCATGATATTCTTCTTATCATTCTATCGAGGCATCAAACTCCTGAGACTGTCCAGGGCAGCCATGTCGAGCGACAATTCGGAGCCGCACCTTTCATATGAGAAACTTACGATGCAGGAGCAAGTGGTGCGAAAGATGGCATCCGCATCCTCATCCTCGTGAAGGGGCTTTTTCGAGACACATCCTTTACGAAAGCAGTCGAGGGTTCTTTTGAAACACCACAGACGTACTGCTCGACGACGGAGGCCTTACGACAGTTCTGGATCCTCATCCCACGAGGGAATATCCGAGATCCTTCCCACTACCCATCTCCACCAATCTTTTCCGCATGGCTTCCGCTCTCTCACCCTTTGGCCCCTCCATCGGGAAGTGCGCTCTGTCAACCCAGTCCCCCACTGCGTGCTGTAGGACTTGTCGCGCACGCTCGGTTCCGTGTCCAGCCAATCCCACGGATCCGTGCAGTGTCATCCGGCCCAGCTCCTTGGACACATCGATGCCCTTGTAGGAACCTCGGTGGAGGATGTTGCTGTCGTAAAAGACGCCATCTCCAGGCTGCAATTCAACTAGGAGTTGTCCTGGTAGATTTGGCTCATATGGAGCGGCCTCCCTCTCGGTCTTGGTTCTTATCCGTCGATGACTACCAGGTACCACAATAAGAGATGCATCTTCAAAAAGCGCAATGTTATACTGCGCGTGCAACTGTTGACCGTCGGGGCTTTTCTCCTTGAGCTGTCGCTCTTCTTCCTCGGGATCTACGTCGGGTCGAATATCGTCTCGATGCCAGCAAAGCTCAAAGTCTACCTGGTCGGCCGGGCTGACCAGCAGATTGAACAGCTCCATCACGAGCTTATCGTCCCCCGCGGGATCGTCCTTGAGCCCAACGAGCTCTTTGACCACGTCGAGGACCTGGTCGCAGAAGTAGACCTCGGCAAACGTGTCGCGGACGTTCATGTCTGGGTGGAGTAGATGCTGCACGCCCCAGATGTTGTCGCCCGGTTTCCAGTGTTGCCACGGCGGGTATTGCTTGGGCACAGTGCGCACGTAGGGCCATTTGCCGTTCCTGGCACGCTCGGTGGTGTACTTGCAACATGCCTTCATGGCCAGGAGGACGTGTGGTGGCAGGAGCTGTGGGACCTTGACGAATCCGTCGCGCCGTAGGGCGTCTAGATATGGGGTTGACGACGCCATTCTGTTGATAACCAGGGTCTTGACTTGGGGGAGGGGGAGGAAGGGGGAGTTCTGGGTGTGAAATACAAGGATAGAACAGAAGAGGAGCGGGCAGTATATAGGGAGAGTGGGATCGAGGAATAAAAGATTGACAGAACAAATAACCAATAACCGCCCTTCCTTGACCTAGTAACCCAGATGGTCAAGAGCGTAAACGTGATGTGATTCTGGAAGAACCTGAGAAAAATGGTTGAGGGAACAAGACAGCGACTTCCCCGCACGCAACGCAGTCAGGCTGATGGATGATGGATGATACGCTGCCACTCCCGCTTCCACTACAGTTATTACTACCACCGATTGCAACGTCCAAAGAACGCAGTCTCTCAGTCTGTCTGTCTAGTTTTGCCCACTCACACCTAACAGAGTCGCTCTCCTCTTTTTCCTCCTCCGCTCCTCCAACAAATATACAAGTATGACCCCAACGACGACAGAGCCATGCTGGAATCATTCCAGGCCTCCGAACAACCATTCCATCCTGTGCCCGCAGTACTCGATACCAGCAGACAGTCGCAATCAAGTCTGCACCCAAGAAAGGAGAGAGATATGAGCTGGCCCAATAAGAGTCTAGTGTAATTCACGTGATGCTGTGTGAAGTCTCAACCCCTGATTCGCATTCACATCCATTCACTATTCACTTTGTGATTCATGCATTCCCTCATGCACTTGCTTTGTCCATCGACATAGCGACATCTTTGACATCTGGTGGCATTGTCTCACAACGGTCAACTGCCTTGTCCCTTGTTGTCATGCATTTTCTCTTTCATTCAGCATTGTTCGCTGCCTCTGCCTCTGCCTCATCCTTGGCCATTGAACCATGCCATGCCCGGGCCCCATAAGAAGCCTTCAAGTCGCTTGCAATATGACATTCTGTACAACATCACTAAATCATCACTCCCACCGCAAACATGCCTGTCGACCTCAAAATTGTGCAGCCAGACGCTCAGTCAGTTCCTCCGATTCCGTCTGACTTGACCCTCTTTGGCATTCATCCTCTTTTCCGTCAAACAGCCTTCCGCTACGCCGATCATTCACATTATCTCCCCTTGGACGAACTGGACAAGAACACCTATGACCTCTCAGACCTTGTGTACGACCGCATGAAGCCAGCCCTAAGATTGGCGACCTTGTTCCTGAGGCAGCTGATGCCGGAGCTCGCCCGTGTTGGCTTGGCCAAAGTCGAAGAGTTTATGTTCCCAGATGGCTACAAGGATAAAGTACTGACGGATGAATGGCAGTTCCTACAAACTGCAACAGAGTCCTTTGAACGACACACTCTGGGACTTCTGTCCACCAAATATCGATTCACCATCTTGACACGTGAGTTCGCGCGCCGCCTTTGTGACGCCCATGGAGAGCTAGCCGGAACTTCCACTCTGATCACTCATGACCCCGACGCTGAGTTTGATTTTGCTTACCCGCAGACTGCCTTGAACAGCTCGTGGTTCTGGTATTTTGCCGGAGAGGACTGGGAGACAATTTCGACCGAAGAGAAGTACGCCAAACACTTCCTGTTCGCCTCCACGCTGATCCACGAACTTGCGCATGCTGTGTGGATCAATCGAGTCTTGACCGGGGCCCAGATCAAAGGCGTCGGCAATGGTGAGATTGACCTTGGCGTGGCCGAGCCTAGATGCTTCGCCTATCATGAGTTTGCCGAACTTGGCTGTGCAATGGAGCTGGAGCTTTTTGAGAGTATACCCTCCTTTCCCCACTTCGGAACCCCTACAGTCTCGGAAGCAGCCTGCCGCGACGACCCTTCCAAGGTGCTGTTCACAATCTTGGACGTCAAGGGAAGAGCCATGGATATCCACGAAGCGACAACCAAGACCATCTACTCATTCTTTGATCCTCGCTTTTGGGCGCCGATGGACGAAAACATCGCCGCGGAATTCGAGATTGAGCTTCTGGCGAACACTCGAGTGCCTCGGCGTCGATTGTCCACCTGCCTTTCTGACCCCAGATCTCTCAACGGATTCAATGTGCCGGTTCTTTCAATGCCGTTCCCTGGTATGCTGAAACCCGCAATCACGGCTGACAATGAGCTATTTGATTGAGTGCTGCTGGTAGTCAATCTGGTCTCCCCTTTACCCCTTCCCCGTTGACCCCCCAGCACCCGTGAGGACGTCTGGTCGATACGTGCTTCCCCTAATAGAATGCCCTAATAATACGGACTAGGTATCATGCTTAACAAGAAGGCAAGTTTCCCAAACATTCATTTAGATATTGATTTACATGCTATGACCAATACCGAAGTCTCTCTTGCTCTCCTACGTTTTCTACTACAAGATAATTCAGGCCGGTCTGTCAAAATGACAGCATCACCACTCTGTATCACGGGTGATGGTGTTCAACTTTGTCAACTCATTTTCCCCCCCTTACGGTTCGTTTGTCAATATGCTAGACACAAAGAATCTCAGACAAAGAGTGTCATTGTCCGCCCCTTGTGTTCATGTGATGGTACAAACGGTTCTTTGGTGATTTGTACATGTTTTGCTCCTGACAAAGACTGTCGAACAACAACTTCAAAGGAGAGAAGCGGAACAAAGAAACCGATGCCTTTACGCGTCGCTGCCTCGCTAACTCTTGTCGTTACCTGAGATCACTTATGCAATAGAAATTCCTGACAACTTCCAACCACATCGATACTTGCCCTTTCTACAACAGAACGAACAGAACTGCTGAAAACCAATATCCAATATGCTTGTCAAATCAAAATCTGCCATTCCCCTCTTCATATTTCTAGCCATTGTGCTCCTCTTCCTCCCTTGCGCAGCCATCCTCTTGATATGCCTCCGTCAGAGACGTGGAAGAAGAAGCGATGAGAAATCGAGGAACGAAGCCATAGAGTCCGTGGCCAAGAGCATGCCGAATTGGACACCATGGATCGAGCTGGGCAACGTTGCAGCGCCCCCACCAGTGGCATCAATCCGTCCGATCCGGTCTCTGCAGACCAAGAAGAACGCACGTTTTCCCAGGCTGCACAGTGGCGGTTCTAGTGTCGACAATGCGTCCGAACATCACCCTACCAAGATCGCTGCTCCAAAGCCAACCAGGGCCGGCAAGAGATACAGCGTTCAGGTGCAGAACATGGAGCATCTGGCCGCAGAGCAATCACCAAACCCATTCGGGGATGCCCCGACCTCTCAGACATCACCGCACACTGCCCGCTACGACCTCCAAGCGGCACTGGTGATGGAGCAAAGCTCCGCGGGAGTGGGAAGGGCTGGGGAGAGATCAGCCTCCATCAACGACGCACCAAGGGTGAAGAGCCAGATTGTGAGGCCAGAGCACGCCGCAGCGGCACGTGAGGGGAGGCCCTTTCCGCCAACGCCGAGCGTCCCTGCGGCGTGCTATGCGTCGGGACAGGCGCCGAGGGGATGGGTGTAAAAGACGATCGAGGAGTCCTGTCACACGAGAGGAGTGAATGAAACATGAACAGAATGTAGAAAGTGAGAGTATATTCTTGTACTGTTATTCCCTTTTCCCACACCACTTTTTGGCTCAGAATCAAGAATAGAATACAAGCATTTGAACCAAGCATCTCTGACAAGAAGACCAAGACTCGAAGAAAAGCGATTTGCAAAAGTCTATCCCGACTTCTTGCGCCCTCATACCCTAGCGTCCTGAATGGATTTTTTTGGTCACGGCTTCTACTGTGCCACCCCTGAGGGAGGGAGGGAGGAATGATAGGAATAAGAAAAGGACGGGGGAGAGGTGACGTGGTCGTCAATGCAAAACGGGGGGTGGTCGTGGTGGTGGTGGGAAAGTGATGAATGATTAAATTCTAGGAAAGGACCCAAGCCATTTTGAGTTTCTTCAGGGGTTCCCAGCCTCGTCCACCCTCACCTCTCACCCACCCTGGACTTTTTTTCCTTTCTCCCGCACCAGGCGTCCCAAGCCCGCAACCTCTTTCTTTTTTCTTTTCAAGCGGTTGAGGTCTCTTGTCCGTATCCGCCACTCGAGGTACATCAAGTCGGGCTATATCATCTCTATATCTCGCCATCTATTCGAACAGGGGTACCGAGTATCGATTTGGCAACTCCCAAAGATTTAAAATCCCCTCCGGTTAACGTCCCGACTCGGACGGAATTCACGTGTCTCTACTTCGTACAACGTTTCCTACATGATTTTCAAAGGGACGGGAATTCTCGGGGCTGTGATTACCTCGATACGTCGTGCTTCAACTCCAAGGTGAACTAAGCCAAGTCAAGCTAAGTCGAAGTCAAGAGAAGAGACGAGACTAGGCGAGGCGAGCAGACGAGAGGAGACATGTCCCGAGTAGTAGTAACTAGTAGCCATCACATGCTTTGCTTTGCTTTGAGCTCGAACTCAAGCTCAAGCTTGTCCAGGCAGGGTCCAGACCGAACTAACCCTCGTCGATATCACAAACACAAAGTGGAGAGACAAGAGTAGAGTCCTTACGGAGTGAGCAAGTAGCGAGTAATTAGCGAGGATCGAGTATCGAGTAGCGAGGTAGGATCCCCCTTCCCCCCAATGACTCCTTAAAATCTTAAAGTGTTGGAGAAAGAAAGGGAAAAAAAAAGTTCCGATGGATTTATCACTAACGAAGGGGGAGAGAAGCCCGTCCCTGTTCAACTACTGTACCGAGTACTTTCTCGCATCCGCACTTGTGGGTACGTGGGTACATAGTGCGAGGTACATAGTACATAATAGTACATACGTGTACATACATGCACGGCTAGTCCACGTACAGTTACTCGGGGAACATGTACCGAGCACACATATTACTGTACGCACTGCAGCCAGTACCTCGCGCTGCTCGTGCAGACTATTTACCGTAGATGCGTATCTAAAAATTTACCAAATTTACCAAATTACCAAATATCTCCGGCGACACGCCGGGCAAGGGCCCCGCGGCCCCCCCCCCCCCCCCCCAAAAAAAAAAAAAAAAAATCACGACATGGTGCTGAGGAATGGCGAACTCTTTTGAGGCCCAGATGATTCTGGGTCAAAAACCAAGAAAGAAAAGAGAAAAGGTGCGGTCTTGTCCGCTCTACCAGTTCGGTGCGAGGCGGCGAGCGAGTCGAGTCGAGTCGAGCCGAGAGGAGGGAAGGAAAGTGGGAAGGAAAGTGGGAAAATAGGAAAGGGCGGAGGGAGGGAGGGAGATGAGAGATGCGAAGAACGACTTGACACCGCCCTCTACAGGAAATGATGGTGTAGCTTCTGTAGCTTCGTCCATGCAAGAGTTGGCAGGTTGGGCTGGATTGCTTGTCTACTCGTAGGTAAAACTGTAGCGTCCATCTATTATCTCTCTCTCCCAAATTCTATCGCATCTATTGCATCTATCGCTCTAGTAGTCTAGTCTATCTTTTCAGGTAGCTCGTAGTATAGATCACCCAAGAATATATCAAACATCTATTCGTGCCATGTCATGTCGTCCCCCCAGTCCAATGCCTCTCAACAGCCACCTCCTGCAACATCTTCTCTTATCTCCCCCTCACCTCCTTGACCATCCCGCGCACCGCCCGCGCAATCTCGTGCCGCCCGTCGTAAATCGGGTAGACGATGACAGAAAACATGGCGCCGAAATGCCAGATGATGGCCACGGTGACCCACCCCCCAAAAAAGCTCTTGGTGAAGATCCAGTCGCGGTACAGCGGCAGGGGCCAGAGGACGATGGTGACCAGGACGTTGACGACAAAGTAGGCGCTGGCGATCTTGAACCACTTCCTGATGTGGCGGAGGGTCGCGTCGTCGAAGGGGTGCACCACCTCGTCGAGGGGCACTTGGGCGTTTCGTTGACGGGGCTGTGCCACATTGCGGGTCGGGGATGTCTCCTCGCCACTGGTGCTGGTGATGTATGCCTCTTTCTCCGACGTGTCCGCCGTCTTGGACGTCTCGTTGACGGCTTCGCTGCTGGGTAGGGTCGACTGCAGCGTGCTGCTCGGCTGGCTCTTGTCCTCGATCAGGTCGATTCGGAGGAACTCGCGCCAGTCGAACCGGCCCGGCCAGAGCAGAGAGATGATAACAGAATAGAGCGCGGGGGAGAAGAAGGAGACAATGGCCGCGTAGAGACCGGGCACCTGGGCCTGCGTGGTTTGGATGTTGATCGCCCCGGCCCACGCCCACGACAGCGAAAGCCACGTCGCGATACCCGACAACAAGCCCAAAATGGGACTGAGGATCGCCGCCAGCTTCGTCTGTCGGGACCAAAGAAGCGTCAAGATCATGGGCAGGATGCCAGGACACGCCACAATGGGCCGGAAGTAAGTGGACCAGTTGTTGGTGGCGCCGGCGTACTCGAGCATGATGGCGAAGCCGGCCATGAAACACCCGTGGAAGACGACGCCCCAGTGGCTCACCTTGAGCGTCCGGCGGTCGGATGCACCGGGGTCGATGTACGTGCGGAAAAAATCCAGAGAGATGATGCTGCTGACAGCGATCATGGACGAAGACACGGTACTCGTGATGGCCATGAAGATCAGCACAAGCAGCCCAGCAGTGGCACCGGTTCCAAGCAGCGACCGAAGCACATATGGCATCACCAGCCCCGAGTTGACTTGGGTGAGTGTCAAAGTGTTGGGATAGTCAAACCAGACTGGAGTCTTTTCGATGGCGCGGGCGCTCAACCCGATGATGGTACCCGTGCACCAAGGGATTGCCAGGATGACCACAGACACAAGGTCATAGGCTGGCACAGTCGAGTGAACTTCGGAGGCGAATGCCTTTTGCCAAAAAGCCGTGTCCATGAGCACCAACGCAAGGTTCCCAAACTTCAACACCAGGCCGAAAAGGAGCGCTGTAACATCCACATTAGCATAACTTATTTGACACGCCATGACCAATGTGTCTTACAGCTCTTGGACTTCATGGTCAACAGTGAACCCTTGTAGTTTCCGGGGATATAGTCGTTTGTCGCCTTGACTTTTTCGTACAAGCCCGAGATTCCCCCGATGTGCTCGTTCGTCAAGACAGCAAGAGAGAAGTATATCAGCAGGATCAGAGCGATGAGCGTATGCAGGTAATCGGTTAAGAAAGTTGCCTTTAAGCCGCCAACTGCTGTATAGGTGACAACTGTTTGATACAAAGGTCAGTCAGTATTCGCAAAACATGGTTGGCCTAGACCGACTTACCTCCAGCAGGAATCAGGATACAGGCAGCGATAACGTGCATTCCGGTCATGCCAGTCACCAATTGAGCCCCTGCGAGGATCATGCTGCCACAGCCAAAGACGTTGTTGACCAGGTTGAGGAGAATGAACAGCCAATGCGCGTATTTTCCGTATCTCATTCTGATGATCTCGAGTGAGGTGTGCGCATACGGAACCCGCAGTTTGGCAACAATTCCAAGCACCGCCATGAGCGCAATCTGAAAGGACAGACCACTAGCCCACCATATCGGTAATGCGACGCCCCAACGGTAGGTATAGGCAGCCGAAAAGACGCTCTCATTAATCCACATCCTAGATCGATCCATCATGGTCAACACTTGCAGACACCACCGGTATTCAAACTTACCAGCTCGAGAAGACAGCCGAGGCCGTCAATCCAGTACCAACGGAACGATTGGCCACCATGAACATCTCGGACTGATCGCTGTCCTCCGAAAGGTACCTCTTCTGGATGCGGACGGCGGCCAGGATAATGAGGCAGAACAGCACCGAAAGACCAATAATGATCCCATAGCCGTCGGCTTGGGTGAGGAGTTGCACGGCCATCTTTGAAAATCGAGTGAGCCTAGCAATGGGAAAGTGAGATGAGACGATATACGTCGTGGGGATTCATCTTCGAGCTACTTATACCGTTGCTGCGGTATATGCATCCACAAGCCACGTGATATGGGAACCGACTCCCATGCGGTATCATCGATGTAGTGCTGACCCTGCCATTCCGTACCGGGGTAAATAGCGAAAGACCGGCAAGGTTATCTTCTGAGTGTCGAGTTCAAGTTCTTTCATTTGCTGAGATGTTCTGCGTGGATTGAAAATCGCGTGCTGAGGTGGTGGAGCAACGTGATTGCGTTATGCGGCTGTCGCAGCACGCCATGAGAAGTCGAAGACTCCCAAGTCCGCATATGATAAATCCTCATCAAACATGGCGAGTTTGCTAGACAGTTAGCTTGATGCGGCAATTGACAACGGTTGACTTGGGCTGTGTCCGTCGAAACAGACCTCTGCCGTGTGTTGGAGCCTTGATCCTTGTAACCGACTTCTCGCGTTTCCCGTGCCACGTTGGTCACCTCTTCCGAGTTGAAGTGAATATCAGACTGAGCCTGGCCCCACTGCAGAAAAGTCACAGAGGGACCGGCACAAAAATAAAATCACTAGTATATCAGTTTTCTCTTTCCAAATTCTGGCACGCAAAGACCCCCTTAGCACAACAAGGGCGAGTACCGAGTTCGAATCCCGATTCCACCACAATCTGGGTCCTGTCAGGTCAAACCTAACCCCGGGTTAGCAGGCATCAGGACCCCGATTCGAATCTCTCCTCCTTCCCTCGATCGATCGATCCGACGACATCAACCATCGTAGTACAAACATTCGTAGTATAACCGGCCGGCCGAGAAAAAACCAACCCGCAAGGGCGAGTTTTCCTTAACACAGACCAGTAGGTTGAGCTGTTCTGTGGTTAAGTTTTTTGCCATTTTGCGCGAGGGACAGAGGAGATTTTCTTTCTGAGATTTTGTTCTTGTGGGATTGTGCAGTCTCAATTGTCACTTACTCTGGTAGAGGGAAGGTATGGCGCGAGGCTGAAAAGTGCCTTCTTCGCGAGAAATTCCACCGAAGTCACGGCCTGGAGGATCAATAGTCTAGCAGAATTCTTTCGCTAAGGGACTTCAAGAGTGAATATGGATGTTCCTCTTCAACAACAAGATCACTCCCCCAGCCGTGTTAGAACTCCGAGAGGATCTGATGGGCGACCCTTCTGGGACTCGACAACTTCTGGGAGCCTTTGTACAAATCTTGTCGATCACTGTTTGAAGTGAACTGTAGAGGAGGAGGCTCTTGATTGAACATCCCTAAAATGTTGCGTGGATAGAACAAGGCGAGATGACTTGAAGCACCCAAGCCGGTCTTTGCTGGAATTGGACTAGCCCCGGCGGCAAAGGCAAATGCTTGCATGCTTCTCTTTCTCTCTGGACAGGAGAAGTTGATAAGAGACACAAGTACTTCAAACGCTTCCGTTCGCAGGAGAAATTAGTTTCTCGATTCGCCATATAAGTCACACAGGTGATCTTCCTCGCATATGTACACACGCTTTCCAGGCGCACACAAATCAAACCAGCTCCATGTCCTCTGCGCGCTTCTGCCCAAAATAAGCCCATTTACTCTCCGCCATGGCAAAGGTCGTTATTCTCGCCGGAGCCGACTTGGGCCCCGGTGGCAGTTTGCTGTATATCTCGTATATTTCGTGCATGCTGTCCCTCTCTTTTCTCATGTGGGGAAAAAGGTCGCTGCTGCTCGTAGGAGGCAGAGGTGGCGGTGTCTCTGCGCGGATGAAGTCGTCCATCTGAACCCCAAACTTCCCGTGCAAAGGTATGGAGGGTTCTTCCCCCTGCATTCTGGGATGCAACATGTTCGCGGACGGCAAAGGCACTGAAGTTTGTGGGACTGATACATCTTCCAACTCCAGCTCTCGTGGTAGTGGAGGCGGGGATTCTGCCTCTGGGGTCCTAGCGCGTTCGATTGGTGGTGGCGAGAGCACTGGGCTTGGTATTGGTCTTCGAATTGCCACTGTCATTTCAGGAGCCACTGTGGTTTCTGTCAGTGGCAGAGACACGTTAATGTCCAATTCAGCACTCTTTAGTCTCCCTGCTTCAAGTGTCGTCTTGATTGTGTGATATACCGCGAACAGGAAGGTCAAGGTGCTGAAAACCCCCACAATGCCCAGGATTATGAGAGCGGAAAGTGGCAACATTTCGAGGCCGTGAGACGTTTTGAACGGTCGGTTTTCTATTGTCAGTGAGCCGGCTATGACATACACCCAACAAAGATGGTTAGAAGGTGATCCGCGGTGACCGACAGGCCCGGTGCTGCCTGGCTCTCTTTGAGGTGAGAGGAACAAAGAACTCTTCCTTGGGAAACTCTTTGGTGCACCGAAAAAAGCACTGAAATGAGGATAAAGCGGACTGAACGCTTTCAGAGTCCCAAGACTGTGCGGGCAGCAGATGATACTCGCTCTGTCAAAGAAGCTGATCTGGTGAGATGTTCCTGTGTAGTGATGGGGTTTGCGATGACGTTCCCAAACACTTTGTCATCCACTGCATTTCCAGCTGCTTTCTTCTTGTCGTGACGGATCTTGAGCGCAAAAAGATAAACGATGGCGAGAATCAGAATAACTCCGGCGAACATGGAAATGAATAGCCAAGCGATCGGGCTCATTGTATGATCGGACGGTGCCATTGCTTACTGGGAACAAGCGGTTCTGAATGACATGCGACTGTGAAGGAATGGACTAGAAAAGCAGAGTTTGTTGTTCGTACCTTTAAACATGACATGGATTCTCGTTCGACCTGGGATTCTGTATGTCTTCTTTGTGATTGTTTCCGGAAATGGCCGAGCGGGGTTTTGTCCAAGTCAAAGAATCATCAGGGAATGCCATTGATCGGAGTACTGTCGCGTACGGTAGCGGAAGAACGATGGCTCTTTCATAGAGCCATGCATTAAGGAAAGGTGACTTTGTAGTTAGGAACCTGCTTGCTCTTCCTCATGGCAGCATGGCAAGATAGCTGAGCATACGCCATGAAGGCAATGAGAGGCCTTAGCATGAGATTGCTCATGATTGTATAGTCAGAGCTCAGCCTAGCTGGTCGAACTGAGGTGATAACTCTCAAGATGAATGATGAGGAACCCACGGTAATTGTACATCCGTTGATCAGGTACTGTACGCTTCTCTGCGGTTTGAAGTCATCAAGTCCAGGTGATCAATTCAAAAGACAGTGTCATTTGATATATGCATCCACTTTACCTAACTTGGGTTAGACCCGATTTCGTGGCCCCCTGATCGCGACTTTCAAAGTCCCGCAGCACAGAAACCGCGTCGAGCGCGCAGGTTGCAACCTTGCCATCACCAACCCTAGGTACTCTCGATCTCAATATCCAGCTTACCCTCATTATTGCTGCTTCGGGACCCCAAGCACTTTGTCGATATTCCCTACTGGACTCAGGAAAGAGCGCGCAAAATCAACTCGGTACCATTCCTCAGCTCGGATATTCCCAGCCACCTCCATCAACCCAGCGCAATGTCTTTCCTCCTTTCACCAGCCAGGCGCTTGACGTCGACGCTCCCCTCCCTATCACAGCGCACATTCTCAACGACTCGCCCGTCCCAACTGGCTCGCATGACCCTGGTGGGGAGGCTCGGCGCAGACCCCGAACTCGCAGATACCGGCAAAGGCCAAGTGATTAAATATGTCGTGGGCACCAGTTACGGACCAAAGGAGAACCGACAGACGTCGTGGTTCCGCGTCGCCAGCTTTGCGCCAGAAGGTTCGCCCCAGCGAGATCTCGTGATGGGATTGACCAAAGGGTAAGCACATCGGTCACACCTTTCCCAACAAATAACTGATCTCTGGCCCAAACAGAACCCTGGTCTATCTCGAAGGAGATGCCACCATGCGCACCTATGAGGACTCAGACGGCAAAAAACAGAGTTCATTGAGTCTGGTCCAGACAAAGGTCGAAGTGTTGAAGAGACCACAGCCAAAAGAGGAGGAGATTGCCTAGGAAGGTGTCAGGGTTTGATAAGACACAAGGGCTTTAACTACCTCGACATAGCTCAACTTCCTAGGTGCGTTTGTCATTCGCTCAGGCCATGATAGTTGGACGAGATGATACTGTTCCTGATTGTTGTATTGGATCCCTTCTCCGATTGTATTTCGCCACTCTTGGGTTTGCTGGGCGGTGATGGCAGCGCCAGTCACCTACCAGCGGTATTATCTAGGAAAGATATGTATTTCAAAAGCCGAAAGGCCGGTAATCAACGAGTGTTCCAACACAACGATCCAATCAACCTGACTCGCAGAATGTGCTTCCATCAATTGTTTGTTCCTGAGGTTGACCGGTGTGCCGCCGGGTTGTGGTTATCTAGATGAAATTCCTCCACAACGAATGTGAAATTTGTCTCATCTCCAATCAAACGGCTGTGGCGAGGTGAATGATGAATTGTGCCGACGTCTCTTTTGAACCCTCCACATAGGACGCCCCTCGCTCCTGCAGCCCACCGCTTGTACATCCCGATCGCATCCTGACCTAAACCGAAGCACACGAATGAGATATATGCCGTGACAACTTGTGCCCAACGGTCAAAGGTAAATGCCTGCGATGCTGCTTTCGGGTCGGGATCCGGCTGTAGGATGATTCTCTCCGACCAGTCGGAGGGATGGATGTATGACCAGGAATACATGTGCATTGGCACACGAACGTTTTGCACAAAGGCAAATATGGCCAGCGGACAATGCATCGCCAGGAGGGCGAACGCAAGTGCGAACAGCCGGAAAAATCGGGAGGCCGTGGCGCCAGGGGTGTGCGAGAGCAGGGCCGAAACCTGCTTGCGATGCCGCAAGAAGCGAACGACTGAGATCACGCAGTAGATGCTTCCGATGACACAGACAACCATGGGCCAGCCGTAGCTGACAAAAGGAGCCACCCAGTTGTTGTCGTAGGACGGCACACAGCCCGCCACCGTTCTGAGCCAATATCTTTCTCTTTGAACCAAGTAGTGGCCAGCCATGACGAGTATAGGCAGTAGAATGCAAAGCAGGAGCTCTATCGTGCGAGTAGTCCTGAGATCTTGCGGGCAAGGGGTAGCGGTCATGCGGTCCGGGTCGAGGATTATCGAAATCTGTCGGAACATGCTCGCGATGGCACCAGCAGCGGCTTGGGATATCCCAATGTAGAGTTTGACTTCAATATCACACAGTATTTTCCCGTCCCACCAGTCTTCAGGGTTATCGGACGACCAGATCACGGCGTTGACGACGTTTTGGACGTTCAGGATGGTGATGCCAACCAGGAGGATCGAGGCTGCAAGGTTCTTAGCGCGTAGCTGCACAACTATTGGAGGGATGGCTGCAAATATTGCCAATAAAGCCAGTGGCACGACGATCATGGAAGAGAGATCCCACGCCATCGTTTCTGTATGAACAGATATGAATGTCCTTCTCCCACAAACGCAGAGATGAGAAAGGGATGAAGAAAACCAAGGATGGATCAGTGGACACCATCTCTCACGCCCTCTTTTAGCCACCATGACCGCACTCCTCGTCGCCTTGACTCAACTCACACGTAAACCGTGGTCCATATGGCTGGACTGGTGGGGCTCCTCAGATATCTCAGAGACATATTTCCTAAAATGGGTTTGAATAAGGCTCTGTTCAAGGCGTAGTCCTCCGGCAAACCGTGCTCGCAAGTCGCGAACAGCTGTCCCTTCTAGTTCTTAGCAACTCACATGTTTGAAATCCATGCCATCCCATCCTTGAAAGACATGGTTTTCGTCGGCAGGTTGAGACAGCCCGATATTTGAAGCAAATTCAGCGCCTAACAGGGGCCTTGCTGAGGGTGCCATGACTGAGGGTCTCTGGTCAGTTGTCCTCCCCGAAAATGAATCTATTTTCATCCAAGTGGTACACTTGACCCGTGGGTCTAAGCAGCGTCGTGATACCGAAAGTACTAGGTATAGTGTGGTGTATGACTATGAGGACAAGAGGAATACATGGAAGATGTCGGTAGGGATCCCGGAACAACCTCGGAAAGGTTCCAGAGCCAAGAATAACGGTGAATCATTATTCCGACTCCGGCCTTACTCTCGGGTGCCGACTTGTCAGACTCGTACGTGAGCCTCATCTGCCTTCCAGACGTTGTTGTTGATGCCACTCCTTTGCATCCTCCTTCGCGATCGCAAACTCTTGCCGGCGCTAATCTCGGGCTATACACTGTGCCTGGGCTCTTTTGAAGCGGATTTTAATGACTCTTGCGTCCTCATCGTTCTTCCATCCACCTTTGATCACCCGAGGATGTTGTGACACGTCAAAACACCCGCGGAATTCCAATCCGCCGGACTCCCTCTGCCCATAACTCTATACCTGGAACCACCACAGGCATTTCACGACCAGCATCATGGCATCGGAGAAACGTCCCTCCATCGCCATCCCATCAATTGCCACATCCGGCCGGCAAGTCAGTCCTTCGCCACACGGCTTGAGGCAGCGGCCGTTGGGAAGAGCATCTACCTTTGCGGAAAACAACCCTCAGCTCAGTCGCCGTCGAAGTTCATTCCTCTCTGAAACCTTTTCGGAGACGCGTAAATCGCTGCGCTCGTCTACGGATGATATACTCCTGCCGCGGGCGCGTGACGATGATGACTTTCACGACCATGACGACAATTCTCACTGGCAGTCTTTGCCACTCGGTCTTGCTCTGCTTCCCGCTGTGGGTGGGATGTTTTTCAAGAACGGTAGTGCTGTCATTACGGATGTGACATTGCTGGGCTTGGCCGCAATATTCATGAACTGGGCCCTCAGATCTCCTTGGTAAGGAAAGATCACTTTGTGTGTTGAGGGTCGACTTATGACAGATTTAGGGACTGGTATCGTGCAGCCCAATCCACTGTGATGGCAGACGCAGCCACCCCTCCCGTATTCAGTCCGATCGATGAAGCGGGCGAGGATCAGGATCCGCTATCAGTGAATGGAAGCGGCGAAGACGGTACCGGTAAAGCGACGGCCCGCACTGAAGCTGCTCGTGCTGGGCTTGGTACTGAGAGTTCAGCTGCGCAGAAAGAGCTCCGTGCCCACGAGCTCCTGGCATTGCTTTCTTGTTTTGTATTTCCTCTGATCGCCGCATGGCTTTTACACAGCATCAGATCCCAGCTCTCACGACCGTCGGAGGGCTTGGTCTCAAATTACAATCTCACCATATTCATATTGGTTGCCGAGATTCGACCCATCTCTCACCTGATAAAGATGGTGCAACGCAGAACCCTATTCCTTCAACGGCGAGCGAACATTGATCTTCTCAGAGAGTCAAGTCGGATAGACACTCAGCAAATTCGCGATGTCTCCCGCAGGTTGGATGATCTCGAGACACATATCGCGGACCGCATTGCCGGCACCGGAAAACAGAAAGAGGATCATGAAAATCACGCACTTGTAACTCAAGCCTCTACAGCAGCCACATCTGAGATCAGGAAAACTATACAGCCAGAGCTAGACGCCTTGAACAGGGCCATGCGTCGTTATGAGAAAAGATCCACAATCTCATCTGTGCAGATCGAGGCAAGGCTACAAGACCTTGAAACACGCTTGCATGATGTGGTTGCTCTGGCTGCGGCTGCACAGCGTAACGCCGATCGGATCCCCAACAACTACGTTCTCATTCTGGCAAATTGGGTCTGTGGTGCAGTTGTCGTCCCTGTGCAATATCTGCTCTATTTGTCCAGTCTTCCATCAAAGGCGTTGTCATCGGTCATCGCAGTTCCAAAAGGGTACATGACAAAGAAGTCGAGACCCCAAACAGCGAAAGAAGGTCGCCCATCTCGCAAGGGTCCGCCGACTCGTTCTTTGGAGCGCGAACGAAGAGCGAAGGTCCCCCCTTGAATCACCTCAAGTTGAGCATTCTCTCGGCACTACAGAAGACAACGTTTTTTGTCTGGCTGTAATGGCTCTACGACGGAGGCAACTCACTAAGCAAAGAAGGTTGATCGGTTGCTGTGCTGATCACAAACACCATGAGGGGCGTGCCATCACAAACCAGAATATGTTGCCTTTCGCCACGTGGACTCACTCTACCAACCACGCAGCCTTGTCGCGCTCGTACAAGTACATCGCTGACGAGGCCGCGTCAAGCGAGCGGCATTATATCACGTGACGCATTGAGGTTCAAGTTCTGGATGGACATGGTCGTATGATGCGTCCCGAACTCGCAACGTCGCAGGCATGAAGCCACCTGGTATCTCAGCATTGATCTTTGGTACGCAAGCTGGCTTTCATTACTGGGTCTCGATAAAGTTGTATCGCTTCTCGAATGGTCGGCCTTAACATCTGAGAAAGCGTGTATAGAGTACCTATCTCTTCACCTGGCTCGACCTCATATGGAACCAATGGTGTTTGCCGCTTCAGAATGGAGCAGGCATCACCCTCAGCGTGGAAAAACCCATACATGGAAGCCGGAAAAGTGACCAAAAAGCGACAAAATGTAACAACAAGTATATCTATTGCTTAATACTCTCTAGATCTTTGCACTCGGCTCTATTCTAGTACTCTTCATATAATATCAAACTGTCCAGAGAACTAAAACCGGCGGCAACTCCACCTTCGTCGCTGTCCTTCCCTTTAGTCCTCAAGAGGTAGCCACCCTCGGTGTTGTGTAGAAGTTCAGGCCGAGCGTCACCCGGCGTGTTTCTCCACAGACAGGTGCCGAAGATGCCCAGTTCGGAAATGACGTTGCCGCTGAGCACCTGGCCGTCACTGCGCAAAACGGTATTTCTGGCCGTGGTGGGCGGGCGGATCAGTTCCATCAGAATGTACTGCTTCCACTGCGACTTGGGGATCGAGTTCAGAAATGGCGGGATGTTGGTGCGGTAGATGTTGTTGCCGCCGCCCTCACGCTGCGGCTTCAGCACGTGGTTCGCCGCCGTCTCGGCGGAGAGGGCCAGGCGGACTCCCTCAGGTTCAGCTGTTGGGTCGGAGCCGGGCCCGGCGGAGAGGGAATATTGCGGAGCAAAAGTCGAGCGGAGGGTCTGGAGCACGACCTCCGGTTGGGTGGGCAGGAAGGTCTTGAGATGGTCCGTGTCGGGAGGTCTGGCGGTGAGGACTTGTTGGACTTTCTTGGACCCGGCGAGATGGAGGAGGACAGTGGGACATTTGACCGCCGCGCTGCGTTCCAGGTGGTGGCGAGCTGCCCACGAAGTCGCCGTGTTGTATTCAGTCGGAGCGTAGAGGGCACGGAAGTACACCACCGTGACCTCGAAGGGAGTAGACGGCGACGATGGGGGAGTGTAAATCAACGGACGACAGGGATTGCTCTCCTTGGATGGGATCGACGTGTAGGCTAGAATCTTGCTGGTCGGCAGGCGGAACGAGGGGATATGATGGTGTTTTAACAGATGGGTGGACAGAGCCAGCTGGTCAAATACATTGCGCTCGTTGTCCTGGACGAGGAAAATAACGCACGTCGGCAGCCGGGGCTCTGATCTTGAAGGTCCATACGCCACATGAGCGGCCGCAAGGCCAGCGGTCAATGTTTCCACTGCCTCGTTGGGAGGAGGGTGCCCGATAGTATGAATAGAACTGTCGCCCGTCGAGTTTGCAAATAAGGGATGCACAGGATATGCAACTGAGTGCTTTGGGGAGGGGAACGTCGCAAGGTGGGTGTGCATCTCTGCAACAAGGCAAGCCAACCCGCCGAACGAGGAGGAGATGGTATTGAATTCGACTTGTTTAAGGGATGGCGGCCCTTGTTCCGTGGTGTGCACCATATAATCAGAACGGAACATCCCCAGAGACAAGTCTTGAACGTAGCCCTCTTCCTTGACGGCAACGTGTATTTTCCAGAGATTTGCCAGGAAGTCGTCGACCTCTATTAGTCTGTATAGGGTCAGTCTTGAAAGTGTTTGCAGCAGGCCCTGCCTTGCCCATCAAGCAGCGGCAAAACACAGAAAGTTCGGGGGGCAAGACAAATCTGGCACAGTGGTTCTACTCACTCTCTCATAATCTCTTCTAGCCATTGCTCGTCGCTTGCAATGCTAGCGTAGAGTTCATTGTAGACGGGCTGGATGCTTTTCGCCAGTTCAAAACACGTCTTGGGAAACGGGCTTGGAAACAAGGTGACTGGAGCATTAGTAGCGAGAACATTCTTCGGATTCGTCTCCTCGGGGACTATGGCGGCGGATGGCCTGACGGTGAGTCCATGCTCTACGGTCCAATTTTTCACTGTCTGGACAAGATACTCCTCCTGCTCAGGTGTCAATGCCGGAGGATAGTCATGGTAGACTTTATTGGCTGCGTTATCTGTCATGGTCTTGAGGTCAGCAAAGTGACCGAATGATTGATGAGTGTAGTGAGACCGCGGCTGCTAGAAGCTATGTTGACCCGAATGAAGTTGTTCTATTAGCGCAAGATCTGTCTGTACTTGGAGTTCGCACCCATTACACATTTTTCTGGTGTCAGTCTCGATGAGCCGATTAGTCAGCAAGATGTCGCGGGGCTCGCTGTACTTTCCTCTCCGGCACCCGCGTAAAGTGGTTTTTCGCGTGGGCAAGGCTGAGCAAGGTAAAACGCACCTGCAAGCCAAACGGGGTAAAGCTTCACTTTGTTGTCACTTCAACTGCCACAGTTTGGCTAGACGCCCTCCCCAGTCTCTTTCGATTCTCGGCCCCTCGCGGCGTTCTCTTCATCGACCTAACCGCACAACAAAGACTTACTCTTTTCTCTACCATATGAACAATCTCCTGGCTCTCGCCCTCTCTCACAGAGGGCAAGGAGTTGAGTGGCGGCCTGACCCCCCTCTTCAGCCTTGTCTCAACCAACCATCCTTTCTCAGTGCGTCTTCGACACGTTTGCGCCCAGGTGACTGACACCCCTCGCTGTGGCGTTGCCTGCGCTTCACTTCCTACTCAATTTTCCGGTGCCGTCCCGGACTCGCCAGCTTCTCATTTTCCATTTTATTTTGACCAGTTCCTGTGCCATCCTCATTCTTCCCCTGTGACACCTACCTGATGGTGCCTCAAAATGGATCCTGTTCTCGATGCCGACGAAGATCCACGAGACTGGTCAATCGATCAAGTCGTCTACGAACTCTGCCAAAGCCCGATCCCACGTTGGCTGTCAAAGCAGAAGCCTCAGTCGATCCCCGACCGCCATGGCCTGGAGGATGCGCTTCGGCGAAACCACGTCGATGGGGACAATCTCCTTGCTCTCGACATGCCAACTCTGAAAGAAGACCTAGGGATATCATCTTTTGGTCAGCGACGGGCCATTATGAAAGCTATTGAGTTCTTCCGGGCGACGTCGAAAAGTTACCAGCAGATGTTATTTCAGGCGGACAGCATTGCCAGGATGCACACAGCCACCTTTGCCTCCCCTCAATTGACCCAGTCTCGAACATCGATCGTCCCACAATCCCCTGCGCACTATGGTCTCGGCGTTCAACCGTCTATCGAGCCGTCGCATACCTTGCAATCACCCATAGCGAGCCAGCAGCAGAGCGTTGTTAAGGATGCTACTTTCATCTCGTCTAAACTCGCGGCTTCCAACTTTCAGAACCCCTCGGGCTCGACTCCTCGACCTCGACGTTATCCTCCCCAGGACGATGTACAAACAAGATCAAGCCCTACTGCCGCAAGCCCATCAGAGGATGCTACGGTCAACTTCGCGAGTAAAGCCTGTGATCAACTTCCTCTCTTACAACATCCAGAAAGAGAATATAGCCTTGTAAATGGCAAGAAGAAGATCGCCCCAATTCTCCTCTCTCATTTACCAGAGGCAACTCCAACAAAGTTGAGTCGCGAGAGCTACCTCGGACAGGAAGCGCATCCTCTGCAAGACGTTTTCTACTGCAAAGCTCCGACTGGATTTACGGATGAGATTATCTATCAAGTTGCTGCCGAGGAACCAGATTCATTCGTCATCTCCACCAAGCGTCCTTCCGGACAACGTCGCATAATAGCTAGACTAATCAAGTCTTTCCTACGCCAAAGCACGACTACTCTATGGCCAAGCGGGCAGAAAATCAAGATACCCTATGACAGGTCTAGGATTAAACCTCCATACTCGAAAGAATATTTCACTTCATTCCCACGAGGCAAGGATGGGGTAAGAGTACATAAAGCAGAGGACTTTACAGAGCTCAACGCCACTCAGGATAATCATCGGCGAGGTTCCGCCAGCATTGCTCCCGTTAGCTCCAATGCAACGTGGTTGGAAGAAAAGGTAGTTGGGTCCAATGTGCTAGACCTAGACTACCTTCTGGACAAGTACCCAGTTGAGTCATCCGATGGGCTTCCTCTCTATGGGGATTCTGGAGATGAAAATGATCTCGACGAAGACACGTGGAGGGAAATAGAGAAGGGGAAGGCTGAGGAAGAGAACTTGCGCCGCACATCTATCAACATGGCGCCAGTCGAGGTTGAGGTCGCGATCAACGATGCCATAGACGAATTGAAGCAGGAATGGTACGCAACGAAGTTCTTCGCTGTCCAGAGGAAGGCTTATCGCCACTGGCTAAACGCAGCTCGACAAAACAGCCGAAAAGAAAAGATCGCATATTTCAACCACTGCAAGACTCGGTTTCTGGTCCGACTGGATATCCTCAAACGTGAGATTGCTAAAAATGTCTGGCGGACGCCAGCCGAGGTTAAGAGGCAATGCCAAAGTCTCGAATTGACCGTTTATCAGTATCACGAATACAATTACTATGGCCAGATCATGCTCCGAGACACTGCACCTCCAAAGCCCGATAACAAAGCACCAGTTCGGAGCCCAAGACATCACGATCTTGAGGAAGGCGAAGAGATTCTCGAATCTGATTCTGAGATAGAAATCTCTACAGAAGAAGGTGGGCAGTCGTTCGTGGATGACTCGTCGGAGGAGGGTTCCAT